AGAAGGCTGGAGAGGGGAGCGATGACGAGGACGAGGAGCTCGTGCCCGACTGGCTGAGCGGGCGAATGGAGTGCCCGGGCGAGCTGGAGGCGCTGATCGAGGAGCGGCCCTTTGAGCGGTGGGAGGTGCTCGCCTCGGAGGGCGCGAGCGCGGTGTGCGGCTCGCTCAAGGGGCTGCTGCGGGTGGTGCGGCGCGAGGAGGACGCGCCGATCGCCGAGCTCCCCGTGCCGCTCGCCGAGCTGCTCACGCCCGCACTGCACGTCGTGCGGCTCTACGTGCTGCGCGCGGAGCACCTGATGCCCGCAGACGCCTCGGGCACCAGCGACCCGTACCTGCGCATCACGCTCGGCGACACGACGATCTCGACGCGCGAGCGCAAGATCAGCCGCGTGACGGACGCCGAGTTTTACGAGCGCTTCGAGCTGCGCGCCACGCTGCCGGGCGAGGCGGAGCTGCGGATCGAGGCGACACACCGCGAACCCTCGCCCCCCCCAGGCCTCTCGCATTCACAGCCGCCTGACCGCCGCGCGATTGGTGATGGCCAGGTGATGGACCACGACCTGCTCGACAGCGACGACCTGATCGGCTACACCAAGGTCGACCTCGAGGACCGCGTCTTTAGCCGCGAGTGGCGCGAGCTGGGTGAGCGCACTCCCGAGTGCGTGTGGGGCCGTGGCGCCGTCCGTGACCGCCGCGTGGCCTTCCCAGGCGACCTCAAGCCGCTCGAGTGGCGGCCGCTCCACTCCCCCTACTCGAACAACCCGCAGGGCCGGCTGCAGCTCTGGGTGGACGTCTTCCCGCTCGACGTCGAGGCGCCGCCCCCGCCGCCGTGCGACATCGCCCCGCCGGGCGAGCAGCGGTGGGAGCTGCGCGTCATCGTGTGGCGCACGCGCGACGTGCTGCCGCACGACTACTTCACCGAGATGAACGACCTCTACGCCGTCGTCGCCTACGGCACGGCGCCGGCGATGCACACGGACACGCACTGGCGCTGCCGCGACGGCTGCGGCTCCTTCAACTGGCGCTGCAAGTTCCCGCTGCGGCTCGGCCACCGCCGGCGGGTGGACGAGCGGCTGACGGTGCAGCTGTGGGACCGCGACGTGCTCAAGTACAACGACAACATCGGCGAGGTGGTGGTGCCGCTGCAGCGCTTCTTCGCAAAGGCCTTCCGCGCGCGCGTGCAGCAAGCAAAGGCGGCGGCCGCCGCCGACGCGGCGGCCGCCGTCGGGGATGACGGCGCGTCCGCCGCCGGCCGCGGCCGCAAGGGCTCGTCGGCGCTGAGTGGCTGCCAGCTCGAGGGCGACCCGGGCCTGCGGCCGCCGTCGGAGACGAGCGTCCGCACCGCGCTGGCGCGGCTGCTGAGCGAGAGCGCCGCCCCGCTCGAGTGCGTCTCTGGCGAGGCGCAGAAGCTCTGGCTGCCGCTCCACGCAAAGAGCGGCGCTGCCGGCCGCCCGAAGAGCGCCGGTTGGGTCGAGGTCTCCGTCGAGCTCGTCCCCGCCGAGGTGGCGGAGGCCTTCCCGGCGGGGGCTGGCCGTGCCGAGCCGAACGATATGCCCAAGCTGCCGCCGCCGACCGGGCGCGT